AGTCTGGCATGTTTACATTCATGTTTGTTAAAGTGTCTGTTCTGGTATGCACTGTCCCATTCAAATACACACATACAGGTCATCATGTCATGAAATGGCTGCGTGTAAAGGCAAACTTTATAGGTTGCAACTATGGTTCAACTGTCTGAAACATCATTTCAGAGAATACTTGGAAAAGCATGACATTACATTTTGTTCCAGTGAACTTGATAACTAGGCGCATAACAGAAGAGGATATACTTTTGTCCTTGTGGTATTCAGAGAATGTCAAATTGGGCCGTGATAATAGATGAAGGAGTGTGGAGTGTTTATCTCACACTTATTAAGGTAGAGTGGATGGTATAAATAGGGTAAAGATGTTTGCTCCCTTAAGGACTTCTCAACAAATAGCAAAACACCGAAGCAAAAGTTCTTAGTATCTCTGTTATATACCCCTGCTACAATCTGTATGAAATTATATTTGTTTGCAATCATTGTTTTTTACCACATTTTTTATGTTTGCTCGTTAAATAAATGAATAACTTCTGCTAATATTTATGGACGAAGGCAGTTCTTTCAAAACTGTTGCTAGAGGATCAATGATCCTTCCAAAGCTGATAGTGCCCTTCTATCACATTGCTGAATCAAGTGATTATACTATGCTAATGCAAGTAGAATAGTTCATGAACGTCGAAATTGATTTTATAATAATCCGTCAAAGGGCAGATGACTCTTTCATCCCCAAGTTCAAAGACCAACGACACCACATGACGCCTATCCAACAAGTCTTCTTCATCAGAGTTTAGGGCCTCAAGCTTTGTTAACTTCCTTCACTGGTTGCATCAAGCTGCTGTCTACTTTAAACATGACCTAACATTTTATTTGAATATGTGCATTGATTGTACAGTTGATTAAGTAAAAGTAAGTATGTGTTTTTATGAATCAATTTGCTTGGGGTTTTAGGGACCAAAGAACGTTTTTGAGTTTAGATGGAAAAAGTTGTTTATCTAACTGATCTGTTAGATGAAGTAATTCACTGTTCTCCTGCAGCTAGTGAGAGGTACTGTATATCTGCAGCTGTATAGACAAGAGATACTTAAAAGAAGAGTTCCCAGGATTGACTCATGTCGCTGTCAAACTCCACAGTTTTCAGTCCCAAAAAACTACTTTGAGGATCCAGTTTGGATCCTGCGGTGCCAGAAAGAACCTCTCTGTCCTCTGTATGAAGATCTAAAGCTTCACAGGATTAGGACTGAGATTTTGCATGAGGTAGTGTTCAGCTGGATGTTGTTTATAACTTTGATAAGAGTGGTCTCAGTGCTGTGTTGAGGTCTCTAACCAGACTAGAACATATCAAATGAGCTGTTAACTAAGAAAACTGAGGGGAAGGACTAAGAAGGGACCAAATCAGATTTTACCAACAATGCGTCATGCAATGTAAGTCATCGCTTCTTCATTGCCATGGACTATTATAATAACTGGATAGGATATTACTAGCTTGTAGCTGAATAACCCATGTGCTCAGGGGATTCTCGCGGTACTGCAGACTAGACCAGACTAAATTCACGTGGGCTACCCAGACATTTTCCCCATAGAACTCAATTTATATTAAAACAGCTCAACCTCAGCTGACAGAGAACCTACAGCTTTAATAAAGGTCGGATTTTGTGGGGATTTTAGTGTCCCTTGTCATCCTGAACTTTTTTTCTTCTTAAATCCTTCGGTTTTGTTTAAATCCACACTTTAGTGCCACAAACTCTGCTCGTCTGGCTCTCGCTCTAACTCCCGCTCTGATGAACTGCTCTGATTGGTCAGAGCGCGGCCGAGCCCCTCTGTGCACGTGCGTGAGACCCGGTGTGAGACCCACACACGCGTGTTTGACGCAACGCATTATGGGAGATCATCCACTGCACAGAACCGGGAGGACCAGACGATGCCCAAATACAGGCGAGTTTCCCATAGATCTTTGCGAGTTCCAGGCGACTTCCGCTAATCTTTCAGCCCCCATGCCGTCACAAAGCGCCACTGAGCACAACGATTCATTTGAATAGGGCGCCATCTTGGATCGCCGGGGCTTGTTCATTGCAGGCTTAAGCTAGCCTTAGATACACAAAGGCACTATATTTCACCTAGCCAGCAGGATAACACGGTTGAGTCATAGCTATAAGGTAACTCTAAAGCCTGGCCTAATTTTAGATGTTTACATAGGTCTGTTGGTTAAAGCCTTGGCTATTATTCAGATCAGGCTAATAAGGTCTTTCCCCCCAGTGTGTCATGCATGCTTAGACACTGCCTGCATCCGCAAAGAATACGAACTTCATAATGACTGGCATGTCATTGCTTGTAGCCACGGCATAAGATTGTAAAAAGCCATGAATTGGCCTTTTCTAATTTGGTTTTAGAGAGAACATGACAAACTCTAAGGGAAACACAAAAATCAATGGAATTTGAAACAGCCCAAGCTAAACCCAATCTCTGCTTGAAGCTGCTACACACTCCCTGAGCCGTGGGAGCAGAGCTGATATTCTGTTTGCTGTCTTCCCATTACCCCATGTTATGTTGTACACAAAAAGTATCAAGGTATTATTTTAGCTCATTTTACTTGAAAATTGTCTTCATGTGTTAGTTTCTATCAACCATCTGATAAGTGAAGAATCAGCCATAACATAAGTGTTGGACAAAACATTGATATTTATTCATTTATTTGGATGGGACAGTGTATTAATAAACAGTAAAGCAATACAATACAATATACCAGATTGCAGCTTTGTTCTAAATTCCATCTGTAGACCCACCATCGCACACAGAAACACACACTCTTTCACCTTTAACTTTTGTACATGTTTCTAGTGGTTCTGGGAAACCAGAGCACCAAGAGAATACTTACGCAGACTCTGGGAGAACATGCAAACTCCACTTGGGTCCTGGCTGGAGGTGGAATTGAGCCCAGGAAACATAATTATGGTTTGCATTATTGTGCATATACAGTATTGTGTTCAAAAGATAAACATTTTCATGACCACATCCATTGATGTGCATATTGTAGCACCTGCCCTCTCCTCCTGACCTCAGACACTAGGAAGCTAAACTGAAGCGGTTCTTGTCTATAGCCACCAGCCGCTTCCACCCTCACTGTGAAGTGCTTTGTGTGACCTTGGTCCATGAAATATGCTAAATGAATAAAGAAAATGTTCTGTGAGGGGCGACACAGAACACGGCAGGATATTTAGGCCAGATTTATATTCCTGCAGTCTGTAGTGTGCAAAGCCTGCTCCTGTCTGTTCTGAAGGACGATAGGGACCGCACTGACATCAAAATTGGGGATATTCAACATGTTGGAAATATTTAAGCACAATATCTCATTGAGAGCAGTGTCCCTCAAGAACAAAAGTTTGTTGTAGATTGTTCACTGTGACGTCTGGCCAATCAGGAAGCAAGGTGACGATGCTGCAAGTAAACACTGGAAGCACGGAAATGAATCCAAAATCAAAACTACTTGGACAACTCACCTTCCTATCATTAATAATGTAGGAAACTGTACAATCCATGGATGCATTGTCAGAGCGTGGAGCTCTGACCAACCTCTTCTGTATATACATTATATTTGATATACAAAATACTGTATATCAAATATATTGTATATGCAGTATATTTTCTTTCCCAATGCCTCTTTGTCTGGCATGTTTGTTCTCAAGAGGTTTCATCAGATTTCCCGTCTGACCTGGAAATGTTGTGTGAAATCAGTTTGAGATGTGTTGATTTTACTGTGTGCACACCACTGAACGACCAAAACTGTGTGAAGGAGAGGTTCCGTAGGTCTTTCCTTCCTGCTTCTGTCAGACTGTATAATAAGAACTGCTGAGCCTGTAAATTTCATTCATCTGTAATTAAGTAAATTCTTAAATCATGTGCAATGTGCAATACTGCAACTTCAGGATGTCACAGAACAATGTCACTTTACCTCATGTCACTTTACCTCATGTCACTTTACTTATATACTTTTTATCTGCACTATTTAACTGTACAGTATATAACTGCACTATTACATATATATTTTGACTGGTATTGAAGCATTTTCAGCATCTACAGCTAGTTATGTTAGCTAAGACACATAGCTAATACTTATTTGTATATATTGTGTGTGATCCCTGTGTGCTCTTACTACTGTCCTATATGTGCAATGCAACATCGAAATTTCCCCACTGTGGGACGAATAAAGGAATTCTTATCTTATCTTATCTTATCTATACCTGTGATTTTTATCGCAATCCGTGGAGTCAGGTTTGGAAAATCTGACCAAAAAAGACTATTTTCAGATAGAAAATATATGGAATAAACTTGAAAACTGCCGTTTACAGACACTAATTTAATCTGACAGAACTTTGGTTTATTTGTAAAGACGAATGGGAAAAACCTTCAGTCTCAGGATGTGCAAAGCTGTTCACACCCCAACAGATTTTTGGTGTGTGACTGCAGCAAAAGGGCGTTCCATAAACTGCTAATATGAATATTTAGTTTGTGTTTTCTTTAGAAAAATCTTCTTACCTTCGGTCGCATTTTATGAAACACTTAAACATAATATAAGTTAAGATAAGATAAACCTTTATTAGTCTCACAGTGGAGAAATTTCAGAAAAACGATGTTTACAATATAAAAATAAAAACAGCTATAAAGAGAGAAAGAAGGTTGAAGCTGAAGAGCGCAACGCGACGGGCAGCCAGCTCCTCCAGCGCCTGCGTTACGTGAGTAACCCATTTCAGCCGATCAAAGTGAAAGTAAAAACTTTTTACATTAATTTTCGATAATCGCAATCTACCAACTTGATTGTGATTTTCAGATTTTTGCCACAGCTTCATATCGCTTTAACCCTACTTGTCTGCTTCTTCGTTGTGATCTATATACAGTATCTGCGGCCTAAATAAAAGTTCCAGTTATAGAGATGTCTATACAAGTCTACGATGTCACATTTTCACCGCCTCTGCACACTCCTGGTCCCTGAGTCTTAATCCATCCCCCTCCACATGCAGCTGAAGGTGCGAGGAGGGGCGCCCCCCCTCACACACCTGTATCTGTGGGTTCACGCGGAGAATAACACGAGCACTGATGAGGGAAGCAGCAGGCACCACACACGCTCTGCCCCGTCACCATGGAGCAGCGTATTAAAGTCTCATTTAGCCACAAAAGGCATTCAGGTGCACCGTTAGTCACACTGCAGCGACCGGGAATGGTGTCAAAGAAGATGAGCCGGTCTGCGCAATTCTGGCTTAATCATTGCTCACGATTTGTGGATATTGTATAGAGATTTTGTTACTGATATGAGAGGAAAAAAAGGCAGTGATATGTGCAGTTTTGACATTTTTCTGGTTGAAGTAATTAAAGGAAGGCTGCAACAAACAGATGCTTTTGATTACTCTGGAGATTATGTGTTCATACATTTTGTAGCGTCTCAGCTCGGAGTGATGAGTGTAGAGACAGTGATCTACTTGTCACTTTATTTCAAGATGGTTACTGTTGGCCGTAACCTATGCCAATACAGCTCACCAAAAAGGCCCTAAAGGAATCTCCCTTATCCTCTGTAATAGGCCCGCCCCCCCCATACTCAAAGTGTTCTAAACGTTGTAGATTAACAACGCATTTAACAGCATTAAAATTTAAACAATAACATAAATGCAGGGGCGCTACAATATATAAACACTTACACCCCTATAGCACCTCTGGGAACAGCAGGTTTCCACAGTGGGGCGGCTGTAGCTATAAAGTTCCAAACTTTCGTTGTGTCCTTAAGCAAGACACATCACCCACATTTCCTAGAACGAGTCTGGTGTGTGTGTGAATGGTTGGTTGTGGTTGGAGGGACCGATGGCACATACTGGTTGCTTCGCTTGTGTCAGTGTGCCCCAGGGCAGCTGTGGCTTCTGTAGTAGTTTATCAACACCGTGCATGGAGTAAAATTATAATGACATGTGAAGTATGTCCAATTAAGCGGTATATAAAACTGATACATTTTATAAAACCAATGCATTATAAAAAAAAAACACATACGGCCATTGGTCCTTATGACGATGAATGTTAAGTCCATAAATGTCGTTGAATGTTGAATGTCTTGGATCATCACCACTGTCCTTAGACTCTTCTGCATTGGCAAGGGACAACTAAAAACAACAATGGGAAAAAAGTGAGAAACCTTGGGGAGAAGGAGAGACAAGCTACAGATCCAGGACCACACTCACACGTTGATCTGAATTAATTCATGTCCATATTCAACTAATGTGAAGGACCCTTTAGATTAACTGGTGGTGAGACCCCAGTAGAGTAACCGGTCCAAAAGAAACTTGTTGATATAAAGGAGAGGTTCAATGGTCAGGAACATCAGAACTCAAGCACTGACCTCATTTTAATAATACACTGGCGGACTACGTAGTTGTTATTATTAATATTTTCCTCCAAATAGGACTATCAGGAGGAAGTCTGCGCACCAGCAGTCAATGTGGAACCCGAGGCCTAACCTTAACCGTAACTGATCCGGTCCGAACGAGCCATTACAGTGATCCTAGACAATAGATTACTTGGTAATATCAGATCAAACTGAATTGTAAAAAAATATATTAGTTATATTGGAGGGACGACAGTGGCTCAGTTGGTAGAGCATTGGTCTTTTAACCTCTTGGGCGTGGGTTCAATCCCCCCACGACCCATGCCATCTGCTCCCCTGTTATCTGCTGTCGATGTGTCCCTGGGAAAAGTCACTTAACCCCACCTTGCCTGAAAGCTGTGTCCGAGCTCATTGACGGAGCAGCCATATTCCCGTGGACCCACCACCTGCAGGAGGATCAGTGAGTGCGTTGATTGCCACTCCCTAACCCAGAAATGGACTAATAAAGGATATGTAAATGAATGAATGTGTAATATTGGAAATTGTTGGAATTCCCCTGAAATTGCTAGAAAAGAGCCATCCAATTCAGTGCACCAGTTTCTTGCAGACACACAAAACATACATTTGTTAAAACATGAAATCTCCGGATCTTAGCGCATGCGGCTGCATTCACACTTCACAATGATTGCGTCTCAAGCTGCAGTACCATTTAAATTCCCTGGAGTGTGCGGCATGCTTCTTTTCTTTAAACACATGCGTTCACAAGCCTCATTCCTCCATCTCCAGAGCCCTTTAGTGTACGTTTCTTTGCTTATTGTTTGTACATGCTGCAGGCTTTTTATCGCAATAAGCATCTACTAATGATGTCAAGATTTACTTTCCTCTGTTTGCAGCATGGAACAACAAAAGACACATTATTAAAGGGCAATGGAAACTTTGTGGCAAATTTGGAGTGGGAATATATTTCTGAAGAAGTATTTTCACTTACTTGTATCAGTGCAGGCTCAAGGCAGTGAGTACTTTATTTGTGCCCAATATTTTAAAACCACTGATTTACAAAGAAAGTCTAAAGTTTTAGAGGCTGGTTCCTTTTTATTACATGAGAAACTTGACAAAACATTTGGTTGTGCAAGATAAACAAGAACAATAGGCATTGAACAATCCCTAATGAAACAACTGTTTAATGAGCGAAGCAGTCGAAGCGAATATAAACAGAAAAACGTCACAAGTTTTCAGAAACAAACTGCAAAGTACAAGGATCTCAATACAACTTGGATCAATGAGGAGTTATGTGTGCAAACATATTTTTCATCAATTTTGCTTATGCAATGTAGCGGCAAGACAAGTGTAGTTTCAACATTCCACTGCGGAGTCGGATGGAAAATGCTTTTTTCTGCAAAACAAATCATTTTCTAATAGGATGTTGCCATAAATTACACTTTCAGTTCCCCAGACATGTGGTAATGAAGAAAGTCAAGCAAACACTGACAGCATGACAAACACACAAACACACAGTTCACACATAGAGTTGACTGTTTATGTACTCCCTGTTTCTGGGTGATAAAAGTCTATGTAATTGGGAGTAATAACCTCAATGGATTCCTGCACATCTAGTATGAGGTCAAAGGTATTTAATATGTGTCAAATTGAATATTGAAGATGTAGCTCCTTTTGCAATAGAATAGAACAGAATGGATCTGCAAATACTGTATATGATTTGTTTGTATTATAATATTATTGTATTGTCATTTACGATACTGTAGGGAGTGAGTTTGCTGGGAGAAGTATGGTAACTTGAGCACAATCCTCTCCTCCTTCCTACTTTATCTGTTTAGCATTATTAGGATTTTGACTGTAGTTTGTTCATTGCTATTCACCCGTTGTCCCATTGTCTGTTTCATGGTACGATGACGGGATCTCTGAGCCTGGCCTCCTCCATCTACACCTGCGGACTGCCCCGCCCGACCCACCTGGGAGTGCTTCGGTCCTGCACCGGACCTGTCCATGTTCAGCGGCCACTGGTCCACGTTCTGTAGCTAGCTTAGGTCCTAGATCATTAGCCTGTCCGTCCGGAGGAGCGGATCCCTTTCTCATATGGGTCTCCCTCCCTGTGGGTTTCCCTAGTTCTCCCCAAGGTTTCTCACTTTTTCCCACTGGGTTTTTTAAAGGACAACTCACCCTCAAATCCACTTTTTTTTGCTGATAAACGGTATAAATGAGTGTCCAATAGTGTTGTCTACATATCCTGGTCATAATCTTGTCACTTTGGTGCAAATTAGTTGAAAGTTAGACTTTCTGCCTAAAACCGTCTGTGAGGCGCCATCTGCTGGCGACCTGTATTACTACATTTGAATTTTGAATCAAATTGAGGGGCGACAGTAGCTCAGTTGGTAGAGCATTGGCCTTAAGCCCAGAAGGTCGTGGGTTCAATTCCCACCTCTGCACCTTCTCCACCAACTCCCACTGATGACTGCTGTCGTTGTGTCCTTGGGCAAGACACTTAACCCCACTTTGCCCAAAAAGCTCCCACTGAAAGATCAAGGCTATGCTCACACTCAGAGCAGCCGTCCTCCTGTGGACTCACCACCTGCAGAGGGTCAGTGAGGGGCTGGTGCTATGAGACTTGGGTGGCATCTCTGATTGCCACCCCCCTGACCCAGAAATGGATTAAAGGGTAGAAAATGGATGGATGGATGGATGAATTTTGAATCTGGCGCCAACACTGGCACAGAAGTTGGACCTGACGTCTGCAAGTTGGACCTGACGTCAGCAGCCCCCCGCCCAGAGCAATGTAAACGGCCCAGTCTCGTTCACGCCCCCTTTAGTCCTCCAGGCTACGCCCATTTAGAGGAAGATTTGAACAGGAAATGTGAGTGACGTAAGCTCCGAGGAGCGGGGGTGAGAACCACTTTAAGAGTTTTTCCTTGTCGATGCAGGAGGGTCTTGTTGGACAGTTAGTGTCCAACAGAAAGGATTGGTGATGATCAGGACACTTTAGCATTCTACAACATGTATGGACATTTTCTTCTGTGTGTGCTTTATATTCTTCATGTGTTTTAACTGTTGATTCTCTGATCTGTGTTGGTGATTTCAATGGTTTTGTTAAGTCCTCTGAGATGACTTCTGTTGTGACCTACGGCTATACAAGAATAAATTGTATTGTATTGTACTGTGATGGTGACTCTTCATAAAGGGCTGGAATAAACAAAGTACACATTTTTTGTGATGGACTGAACCATGTTTTGTTATAACTTGTATTTGTATTGCTGTGTTGCTGTTATTAAATAAAATGTTTATTTAGAAAGAGGTACAGTATATTATCATTGAAAATACTACTTCAAGCCCTGAAGTAATAATACTGTTACTTGAATAATAAAAAAATGATAGTAATAGTAATAGCAATAATTCTGATGATTATAATAATAATAATTACAAAAATTGTAATAAAAAATAAAAATAAATTATGCCACAAGCGGCATCTAATGGCCCTTGCTGCATCTTCAAAAGGAGGGAGCACTGATGCGTCCTCATCCTGGCTCTAGAAAAAGGAATCATTGATGTTGTACCATTATAATGAATATGAACCATGGACATACATTGTGCTGCTGCTGACAGCTTAACTCCTCTCTCACATGCTAATAAGCCCAAGGGGGGGACAAGGGGTATGTTTCTGAGGGACAATGTGGGACACAGCCTGGTGCGGCGGTGCCCCCACCCCACGGGCAGACTCACTGCCCTATTTCTAGCCCATACCACATTACATGGTATATTAATAATGCCCTATTCCCCTAAACATGCGTGATTGCTGATTTATGCTCATGAATAGGGCAACTAATGTGTATTTTCTTCTAAATAAAGATTCATAATATTTTGAACATTGAATTGAATGAATTGACAGATGCATTTCCACTTACGTTTTACTTTAGCTATCTAATTTTATTTATTTTTCATAACAATTTATTCACTTGAATTATAATGAATTATAACATGAATTGATAGGATTAACAGGAATTGTAGTTGCTCAACACAACAGGTACAGTTGAAAAAAAAGTCTTAACTCACAACTCCAGAGGTTCACGGAACGAGAAGGGGGAGGAAGGATGGTGAACTTGCATGTTAGTAAAGGCAGGCGCAGCCGTGCAGAGGGAAAAAACTGTTCAGTGTTCTAGGGACACCTTTAAGACTTTGGGGACATCTTTGGGACTTAAACCTTTTCACCAGCATCTGAATCAAATAAAGAAGAAATATAAGAGACAGAATTAAAGCAACATTCATTTTATGAATTTATGTCAACAAAAAAGTTGACAACAACTTAGTCAGAAGTTTAACTGAGGGGTGGGTGGGGCAGTAGCGTGTTGAACTGTCAAGTAATGTTCGTTTGGCTGCCTGCGGCTCGAGGATATAGCGAGACCAATTTTGTTGTTGTTGTTGCAAGCATTGATTAATGATTATGCGTGACACGGTCTCAATTTGCGGGACGCATGAATTGGGCTTCAAACGCTGTGCGCGCACGCGCTACGCGGGACAGGTGGTCACCCTATACGTGTGTCTTTAAGCAGGTTTAATGATGCTCGAAAAGGTGAAACTAAAAGGATAGACAATATGCAATTACTATATGCCTATGATAATACAAATAATTCACAGTAAATAAAAGACATGTACAAGTCCACTCAAGTTTGTAAAACGATACAAACGGGACGCCATTTTGAAAGCTACGTTGTACAAATAAAGTGGGCAAAACAATGTTATACACGGTTTTAACTATTCTCTAGAAGTACAACAAACATATACTTGTCTTAAACTTGTGAAAAAATACATACCAGCGATGCAACCTCAAAATATTTGCGATCTCAAAACGACAGCTGGAACTACGTGTCGCCATCTTTCTTTCTGGTTTTGTTGTACACACTTCAATAAAGTTTTATTCAAACGTGCACTAGCATTCTTTGTCCACCAGATGGCACTATAAAGTAGCGAAATTAAGGCAGGAGCAAATACATATTTTAAACTAATAAACAATACTAATTATGCATAACAGAACATACATATTAACGGACGTAGTCACGCCTATCTCCGCCGTTCTAACTAATGGGCCAAAAATTGGGCTTTCATGGAGTGATTCAAAATGCGCATGCGTCAGCCGGCACGAGCTCCATTCATTTAAACGAGTCACTTCAAAAATTCACAGTGAGTAGACTAGACTGGTCCAAAAAAATGCACTCCCCTCAGCATTGACACACATGTGGATCGGAGCTTTGGGCCAAGAGCCAACTGGTAAAGACGTTTTCGAGAGGTAAGAAGATGCTTTATTTTAGCATTGGCTAATTCTTATTCCGGTTCCACCCCCATCGGCCCGGGGTGGTATTGCAAGCATGTCAGCGCACATCATATTGGCCACTTTTGAGCCGGTGTTCTGCCGAGTTGTGCCGCTCTGCCGAGTTGTGACGCTTATGTAATGCTCAGCTGTTAATGATGTAATGCAAACCTGCGCATGCGCGTCTCACGGCAGCCGAAACAAACCAAGATGGCGGACAGAAAGTCCGAGAATTGCTTTAAAAGTTATAATACGAATGAAATAAGACACAAATGTCACTTTTAATGCAATTTGAGGCGAGATGTTGATGGTTCGGTGTTGGCACATGTGGGTTTTAAGAGTCAAAGTTTCGGGTAAAGTTTAGTTTAAGCAGTCAACTGCACCTATGAAACCACTATGCTAATGTTATGAGAGCAGTCCTCGGCAGCTGACGTACGTCCTTTTTTGCGCATGCTCAAATCAGACTTGTTTTCTCTTCTACCCGAAGCTGAAAACACACGTGAGTATGGCTCTCCGTTTTCAAATGGCATATATTTTGATTGTTTTAACGTTCTATCAGCGAAATTCATCCTGTGATTTGATAGGGGCTTAGATACATCGATATTTAGTGAAACAAACGCTTCTTATTTTTATTCTGTAAAGCGTCTGAGTGTCCAGAAAAGTGCTGTATAAGTATGTATTGTTATTATTATTATTATTATTAGAACACCAAAGAGAAACCACCTCCGCATCAACAGACCAAAGAGAGGAAACATCTCCTCATAAACCGACCAAAGAGAGGAAACATCTCCTCATCAATGCAGGGAAGACCAAAGAAATGGTGTTCTTGTTCCGAGTGGTCTGCTGGATCAACAGCATCACAGAGGGGGAAGAAGCTGGACAAGGTCATCAGTAAGTTCAGCTCAGTCATGGACTGTTCCCAGTGCAGCAGGTGGGGGACCATGACTGTCACCCCCTGCAGGACACTCTGCTCTGGAGAGCAGCTTCAGTGAGAGTTATTCATCCTCTATGTGTGAAGAAGAGGTTGCACAGGTCTTTCCTTCCTGCCGCTGTCAGACTGTACTGTGAGAACTGCTGAGCCTGTACATGTCATCTCGTCTGTAAATAAGTAGTAAGTAAATACTGTAACAATCACATTTTCCCACTGTGGGACAAATTATACCTTATATTATTTAGGAGACAATCATGGCACTTTCTTGACCCACCAATCGAAAACAAGTGGAGGAAAAATCAAGAGGCTTTTGGAGGATTTGAAGAAGGGAAAAATAGCAGATTCACCAGGTAGGGATAGTAATGTCAGTAATATTTGTTACTTTGCATCTAACGTTTTTCCAATGCTTTTAGGACACTGCCAAATGTGACAGCTACACACCAATGGAACTTGAGAGTGAGAAGGTGCTTGACATACAAACAGAACAGGTATGTATAGTAGTAAATATTACACAATTTATTGTATTTTCATTATAAATTAAAACTTTTGTGTTTCCTTAGAGCAATGAGGTAGGAGGGAGTTTTTACATGGAAAAAGTCTTGAAGCGGACAACAGTGTCACTGATTGTCACACGCAAGTCAAAACATTTCTCTTGTAACCAAATTCATTGTTTTCTCAGGGTATGCCCCATTGTACAAAGAAGAGCTAAATGAACAACTGATTGCCTAAAGATGTGCAGAAACCCGTCTCCGAGCACCAGACATCACAGCTGAAGCGTTATTCTTTGTAATAATTAAGAATACAAATCCTGTTAACATTGAAACTTTTTTTTGCAGGCTTTTTTGGGCAGGAATCCACTTAAATGAAAATGTCAAACGTGGGCAAGATTCTTCAAAAGGGCAGTCTTTATTCAAAGTTCCAACCCAAAGTACATCAAAGGAAAGCAAACAGCAAAGCCAACACTTGGTAAAGAAATAACACTGTACAAACATTACAGTACAATAACTTAATCATATATTATTACAGAGGCTGACCAGGACAGAAAGCCAACGCACTGGCCTTCAGGATCTGTGAACTCTTCGCGTATCCTGAGCACATCACATGCAGGAATGACCTGGCTCCCAGTCGTCCCGAGCACCAGCTAACCAACTCCACAAATCTGAGACTCCTGTGGAATTGGACACGTATGTTAATTATTGTAATTTGCTGTTTGCGTAGTGTACTATAATGTACTGAAATGTTTTGTCCCTTTGTCTGTTTCATGGTGTGACGACGAGACCATTTGCACCTGCTGACTGTCCTCCTTCAGCCCGACTCGAAGGCTGCACCCCTGCCTGGGAGCTGCCTCAGTCCTCGTTCTGCTGCCCCAGTCCCGCCCTGCGTTGCCTTGGTCCATGTTCTGTAGCTTAGGTTCTGGATCTATAGCCTGTCCGTCCGTGAGGAGCGGATCCCTTTCTCAATGTGGTCTCCCTGAGGTTTCTCACTTTTTTCCCACTGGGGTTTTAGAGTTTTTCCTTGCCGATGTAGGAGGGTCTGTTAGACAGTTAAGTGTCTAACTAAAGGACTGGTGATAATCCAGGACACTTTAACATTCTACAATATTTATGGACATTTTTGCTCCTTATGGATCAATGGTTCTGTGTTGTTTTGCATTTCATGTGTTTAAGTGTTCCTCTCAGATTTGTGTTTTGAAAGATATACAATGTATTGTGTGCTTTGGATGTGCCTGATATTTGTTAAATGAATTGATTTCTCAAAATGAAGTCTCCACGCTCTTTCAACATTATCAATATATTTATTTGACAGGGACAATGCAGACACAGTCATAAACAAAGCTTGCAGCTGATGTGATGAATATAGTTTATAGCAGATGCCAATTCACAACTCCTGTCCCTGGTTGGGCCTAACCAATCAAAGTCAATACAATTCCTACATTTCTAAAAATACACTTAGTTTACAGCCTTCAGACTTAAACAGACTTGATTGATCCACACAAAAAAACTACAAACGTGTTTTCTCTTGTATTTAAAGCTTGACATCAATGCGGGAACTTTACATCCTTTAGCAGGAAAATCTACACAAATTCAATTCAATACCACAGCCCATTTTTTATGCACAACCTAACATAAAGCCCATGAAAAAACCTTTGATTGGTTCCAATTGAAATGTTACTCACCAGTGTTGTTCATTTCTTTAATAGAAAGGATGCACCCGATCTTTCATCTGGGAAACTAGTCAAAATTCATCAATCCACGAATGAATTACATTTCAAAGGACAACATGGCCATGGCATGTAATCTCTGTGGTTACTGGTGATAATAATCCTGTGGTTGTTGTCATGGATCAGCTGCAGCAGAGTCTTGACAGTAAAAGTTTCACTATATATCCAAATGGCCATATTTTTTTTTTTTGCAACTTCGAATTCATCCCATGAAAATTATTAACTGAACTGACAGAAAAGTGTGCAGTCCACAAGCTGTGCTGCTGCAGGTGATCGCTGCATTAAATTAAATTTATTATTTCCATTATCAACATTCATCCAGTTGTAAGCTGTAGAGTTGCCACAGGACGCTTCATCAGCCTACGTCAGCTGCCGAGGACTGCTATCATAACATAAGCATAGTGGTTTCATAGGTGCAGTTGACTGCTTAAACTAAACTTTACCCGAAACTTTGACTCTTAAAACCCACATGTGCCAACACCGAACCATCAACATCTCGCCTCAAATTGCATTAAAAGTGACATTCGTGTCTTATTTTGTTCGTATTATAACTTTTAAAGCAATTCTTCGTTCGTATTATAACTTTTAAAGCAATTCTCGGACTTTCTGTCCGCCATCTTGGTTTGTTTCGGCTGCCGCGCATGCGCAGGTTTGCATTACATCATTAACAGCTGAGCATTACATAAGCGTCACAACTCGGCAGAGCGGCACAACTCGGCAGAACACCGGGACCCGCCCCCACATATATGAACAGGGAGTGTGAGCCTCCATTGATAAACGTTGAAACTGTCACGTGTCTCAATAAAAACAAAACACTGTTTAACAGATCAAAATTTTGAGTCTTGCTTTGAAAACAATTTTAAAAAACCTGAACTTTTTTTTTTCACTATGTAAAAATTTGGCTCACTCCGAGATGGTGCTAATGCATTTAATGTTCTTCAAAATCAGGATACTTAGACCCCAAGAGTTGAACAACCAATTAAAATGTTGTGCAAATCAGAAAACGATGAGAAAAGTAATATTGTTGCTATAGAGCTCATATTGTACACATGGGACAAGAACTCATTTTAACTTTTTTTAAAGAATTGTTCATGCTTCAATCTGTCCGGATGGTGGAAGTCTTTATGATGAAAAACTTAGGACACGACGGAAGTGAAAAATGAAAAGTCAAATCGGCAGTACAACTTCCTGTTGGTCGCCGAGTGAGGCTCCGGAGAGTTTTAGGCTTGTCTCCTATACTGTAAATCCTTTCCTGTTCCGATTTGTTGTCGTCCGGCTCTTCTAAGTGGCGATATAGAGTCAGCAAACTGAGCCAAACGCATTAAACCTCAATGTACAATGTCTGCAGGATCAAAAACACATTTATTTTGACAAAAAAGAATAATAACAGTAGGAAACTGTTGAATAACTATCACCCTCTCCAATACTTTGTATCGTCTCGGGCTAATAATAATATGAAACCGGTGAATGAGAATAGCCCTCTCCAATACTACGTAATGGCTAGGACTAATAAAAGTGTTTGGAATGTTTGTGTGAAGCCGGTCACTGTGTCCTGGATTCAAACGCTCGTGTCATTCTGCTATTTTGGAGCATAACGGGCGATCACACACTGTTCTTTTCGTAAAACGTTTTGGAACAAATAACAGTAAATTCTTTAAAAGTCAAGGACACAAAGATCCATGCTGGAGCTTGCTGTGCTACAAACAGAAGCTTTCATATTTCAGATCAAACTGACATGAGTGAAGTTCAGGAGATAAAATTCAAGTCTACAGAATACAGTAGCATTTGGTTGTGTCTTTGATCTGGAGTCAAACACCTCAGCATCTGAGCCAAGACTTTAAAGACCACAGAAACTGCAGACGACCAAGATGCAGCTATTGTCAGAACCTCCAAAGAACCTCCACGGACTGGGCTACAGGTCAGCACCTCTGTATCAATACTTTATACAGACGATGCTAACCACTAAGCTCAATGGAGGCTGACAGTTTGGACTGATGCCTTGTCTTCCCCTGAGTGGTCACGTGATGTTCCTGTGACTTGTCAGCTGTTTTACACAGTTTTTGGCACTGTCTTCCTACCACCAGAGGCAGGACGACTGTGCCGCCTATATCAGCTGACCAGTCAGGTGTCTTGTGTCCCTGAATTTGGTTTTAGCAGCAGGTAGCTGGTTGCATGGCCAATGCCAATGCTCAAACAGCTTGTACTCGTGTTGGCTCTAATAGACTTATTTCACGATGAGGCAAACATCCTCAGCACTCATTAGTCAACACCTTCTGCAGTCTATGGGAAGAAGCTCCACAAAAGAGGCCACAAGGGTCCAGCTTTGACACAGAAAGGGTGGGGCATCAGAATTTTTGTCATGGTGTGGATTTTTATTTTTGTACTTGGTTTTATTTTGACATTAGTTCTCTGGTTTCATTTCAGTTTTACTTCATGCCCTGTTCCCCTGTTGATTGTCTGCCCCGCCCTGATGTGTTTCACCTGTGTCTGTGTGTGTCTATATGTACCCTGTGCTTCTCTCCCCTTGTTGCTGGTTCATTGTCTTGTCTTGTCAAGGTCTGTTCTGTCCTGTGTTCCTGGTTGCTTTGGAGTTTTGTTATTTTACCTTGGAATTCGTTTTATTAAATCTTTATTTTGGCATTCCGGCGTTTGAGTCCTCATTCACCCCACCCCGTGACAGAATGAACCAGCCACTCAAAGGACTCAGCGGAATGTGTTTTTCCCCACACCTGCTCCCAGTTGATCAGCACTCAGGTTTTTATTTATTTTTGCTTTTTTACTTTGCTCTACTTTTGACCTCACCTTATTCCTGGAACCATCGCCAACCATTGACCTCCGTCTGGGGTGGTTGTCTGCTGTGCCTGTCTCTGTGCCACCGCTGGGCCTTGTTCTCCGCCTGGGGTGGTCCCTTGTTCCCTCCTGACCCGTCAAGGAAAACGGTGAGGTCCTGCATTGGATGTTCCCGTCTGTCTGCTGCCCTACGATGACCTCTCCTTCCCCTCACCTGTTGCCAACACAGACATTGATGTCCGGGGTGGTTCTGTTGTGTGTCTGGATCACCGCCAGGCATGGGTCACCGCCAGGCATACGTCTCCGCCCGGGGTGTGCCAGTTCCATGTGGAGGGTCGTCACTGGGCTTCAGCTTCTGTTCCTGACACGTTTGGACTTTGCTTCGGACCTGAGGCTTTCCCGGCCTCTATGCTGCCTCTGGTGAATGTGAATAAAGTGAATGTGTTGGTTTCCCATCTCTTTAAAGTTACACTGTGTGATCTTTAGTGTCATCTAGCATTGAGATCTTATACTGCAGTCCAAGGTACTATGGAAGCCTTTGATAGAAAATGTGTCTTTGACAGTGCTCCTCAACTCTCAGTCATTCACCAGACTGCCAAGGAAAGAATACTTCAGTTTGATAAATGACCGGATCTCTCCAAACGTCTCGGGCACTTGACAGTCGCGTGGAGGCGACATGTAAACAAGACTGTTCTGAAGCGG